TTTTAGTTATAAATGGGAACAATCTTTGAAGGATAAACATCATCACATTCAAAATAACATTTAAATATGATATTATATAGTGCATTTGACTATTTCTGCCACAATATCACAATTGATGAGTGTTACTACATTAAATCCTTGGTGAATGTTGCAGATTTGTGGTCTATAACTTTTTGATTCATCGCACAATGTTTCCACGTCAGCACTGCTTGATCTGATGTATCTATGGATGTGATTGGCTGGTTGTGGTTTGCTATTGGCTGATCTCATGTTTAAAGCCCCGCCCTCGTCATCAGAGAAGAGAAGAGATGTTGCCAGAGGAACTGATTCTGATTCAAGATTACCAGGAACATGAAGCTAAAGATGTTTAGATATTTTTATCTAAATTTACAGTGTTTCTCCACGATAAACCCAGACTGACTGAGACAAAGACAAAGCCTGGACTGCCGTCACCATCGGCTTGACGCCTAAACATGTCATTTCCTGTTGTCCTTATTGAAGCTTCCTGTATTTCCTTCCACTCTGTCCTCAGTAAAAGAGCAGAAAGTGTGTTTACCTGAGTCACTAAAGACACACATTACACTAGCGTTTCTGGAAGAGTCTCTTCTGTGAAATTAATTTAAAAAAGCTTTGCTCAAGAAAAATGACTGATTATTATCAATGTTGAACCGTCATATTTTTGTGGAAACTGTGACATTTTATTTAAAGTTCAATAGGACCGTGCTTATTTGAAGTATAATCTTTTGTAACTATAGATTTAATGCTTCCCTGCTGAACAAAATAAATAAATATGTCGAAATAAATAACAGCTATTATTGGAGGAGAACATTGGGATATGTTCAGGAAACACAAGAAATAAAATCAGTTAATCACATAAATAAATGACAGTTTTGTTGATTATCAACATATTGCTTTTTTGTAACTCTAAATCTGAGCCTTTATGTAAAACCACCGCTTGTTATAAATACGCTTTATGATTCAAAGCTCCATTCTCCTCATTCTAGATCCTTTTAGATGACATTTTGTGCACCTAAAGCGCTTAAAGCCTTTGTGTAGATTCTAGGGATGCACCGATATATATCTGCCACCATATCGGTATCATTTTATAATGTTATCCGCCTGATAAGAACGTTTGGCCGATATATATGTTCATTTTATAATGTTATCGGCCTGATAAGAACGTTTGGCCGATATACTGTATATGTTTATTTTATAATGTTATCCGCCTGATAAGAACGTTTGGCCGATATATATGTTCATTTTATAATGTTATCAGCCTGATAAGAACGTTTGACCGATATATATGTTCATTTTATAATGTTATCGGCCTGATAAGAACGTTTGGCCGCTATATATGTTCATTTTATAATGTTATCGGCCTGATAAGAACGTTTGGCCGATATATTTCATTTTTTAATGTTATCGGCCCGATAAGAACGCTTGGCCGCTATATATGTTAAATTTTTAATGTTATCAGCCTGATAAGAACGTTTGACCGATATATATGTTCATTTTATAATGTTATCCGCCTGATAAGAACGTTTGGCCGATATACTGTATATGTTTATTTTATAATGTTATCGGCCTGATAAGAACGTTTGGCCGATATATATGTTCATTTTATAATGTTATCGGCCTGATAAGAACGTTTGGCCGATATATTTCATTTTTTAATGTTATCGGCCTGATAAAAACGTTTGGCCGCTATATACGTTAAATTTTTAATTTTATCAGCCTGATAAGAACGTTTGACCGATATATATGTTCATTTTATAATGTTATCCGCCTGATAACAACGTTTGACAGATATATATGTTCATTTTATAATGTTATCGGCCTGATAAGAACGTTTGGCCGATATATATGTTCATTTTATAATGTTATCGGCCTGATAAGAACGTTTGGCCGCTATATATGTTCATTTTATAATGTTATCGGCCTGATAAGAACGTTTGGCCGATATATATGTTCTTTTTATAATGTTATCGGCCTGATAAGAACGTTTGGCCGATATATTTCATTTTTTAATGTTATCGGCCTGATAAGAACATTTGGCCGCTATATATGTTAAATTTTTAATGTTATCAGCCTGATAAGAACGTTTGACCGATATATATGTTCATTTTATAATGTTATCAGCCTGATAAGAACGTTTGGCCGATATATATGTTCATTTTATAATGTTATCGGCCTGATAAGAACTTTTGGCCGATATATATGTTCATTTTATAATGTTATCAGCCTGATAAGAACGTTTGACCGATATATATGTTCATTTTTTATTGTTATCGGCCTGATAAGAACGTTTGGCCGATATATATGTTCATTTTTTTATGTTATCGGCCTGATAAGAACGTTTGGCCGATATATATGTTCATTTTTTATTGTTATCGGCCTGATAAGAACGTTTGGCCGATATATATGTTCATTTTTTTATGTTATCGGCCTGATAAGAACGTTTGGCCGATATATATGTTCATTTTATAATGTTATCGGCCTGATAAGAAAATTTGGCCGATATATGTTCATTTTATAATGTTATCGGCCTGATAAGAACGTTTGGCCGATATATATGTTCATTTTATAATGTTATCGGCCTGATAAGAAAATTTGGCCGATATATATGTTCATTTTATAATGTTATCGGCCTGATAAGAACATTTGGCCGATATATATGTTAATTTTATAATGTTATCGGTCTGATAAGAACGTTTGGCCGATATATATGTTACATTTTTATTGTTATCGGCCTGATAAGAACGTTTGGCCGATATATATGTTCATTTTATAATGTTATCGGCCTGATAAGAACGTTTGGCCGATATATATGTTCATTTTATAATGTTATCGGCCTGATAAGAACGTTTGGCCGATATATATGTTCATTTTATAATGTTATCGGCCTGATAAGAACGTTTGGCCGATATATATGTTCATTTTATAATGTTATCGGCCTGATATGAACGTTTGGCCGATATATATGTTCATTTTATAATGTTATCGGCCTGATAAGAACGTTTGGCCGCTATATATGTTCATTTTATAATGTTATCAGCCTGATAAGAACGTTTGGCCGATATATATGTTCATTTTATAATGTTATCGGCCTGATAAAAACATTTGCCCGATGTTCATTTTTTTAATGTTATTGGCCTGATAAGAACATTTGGCCGATATATATGTTAATTTTTTTATGTTATCGGCCTGATAAGAACGTTTGGCCGATATATATGTTCATTTTTTTATGTTATCGGCCTGATAAGAACATTTGGCCGATATATATGTTCATTTTATAATGTTATCAGCCTGATAAGAACGTTTGGCCGATATATATGTTCATTTTATAATGTTATCGGCCTGATAAGAACGTTTGGCCGATATATATGTTAATTTTTTAATGTTATCAGCCTGATAAGAACGTTTGGCCGATATATATATGTTCATTTTATAATGTTATCGGCCTGATAATGTTATCAGCCTGATAAGACCGTTTGGCCGATATATATGTTCATTTTTTATTGTTATTGGCCTGATAAGAACGTTTGGCCGATATATATGTTCATTTTTTAATGTTATCGGCCTGATAAGAACGTTTGGCCGATATGTTCATTTTTTAATGTTATCGGCCTGATAAGAAAATTTGGCCGATATATATGTTCAATTTTTAACGTTATCAGCCTGATAAGAACGTTTGGCTGATATATGTGTTCATTTTTTAATGTTATCAGCCTGATAAGAACGTTTGGCCGATATATATGTTAATTTTATAATGTTATCGGCCTGATAAGAACTTTTGGCCGATATGTTCATTTTTTAATGTTATCGGCCTGATAAGAACGTTTGGCCAATATATATGTTCAATTTTTAATGTTATCGGCCTGATAAGAACGTTTGGCCGCTATATATGTTCATTTTTTAATGTTATCCGCCTGATAAGAACATTTGGCTGATAAATATGTTCATTTTATAATGTTATCGGCCTGATAAAAAACATTTGGCCAATGTATATGTTCATTTTTTAATATTATCGGCCTGATAAAAACATTTGGCCGATTTATTTAAGCCAATATATAAATAAGTATCATTTCCTTCAGCTGAGACGCTTTGAGATTTGCTCTGTTCAACATGATTAGTTTGAATTACTTAAATATAATTAGAATCACTCAGAAAAAGGAAAAAAGAGTTCAGTGCAACATGCAAAGCTACATAAAATTATAATGAGTTTGTTATAATTGTGTGCTTGGGAAATGGATTTTACTTGGGAAACTTGTTTTTGTTATCAGGCTCACAAACATTATATAAAAAATTTTATTTAGATTTATCGGCTATTTATTCGACTTTCTAATATGTAGAATTATCGGTTATCGAAATCGGACATTTTTTTATATTGGTGCATCCCTATAGATTTCCATTTGTGCATTGTTCCACACCACATTATTAATCAGAGTACAATAGTAATTTACAGGAATCAAAATCATCAAATTCCTCATGTTTTCTCTCTAATTAAGTCATCAATGAAGTGAATCTAGCATCTAGATGTGATTTATGCATATCAAATTCATGCATTTGGATTCCACAGTTTTTAACATTGCATAAATGACATGTGGTGCATACTCATTTCATTAATGCACGACAAATATGCATCCCGTCATTTATGCGTCGTATTTATGTTAAAGCTGTGAAATCCAAATGCATGAAACTGAAAATTCATTTAAATGCAAAATTTCACCTTTAGGCCCTAAATATCGTGACCCTGTTAAAACACTTGTTTTCACTTCATTGTTGACTTAATTTAAGAGAGAACATGAGGAATTTGATGATTTTGATTTGTTAGGGTTAGGGTTATATGCAATTATGATGAATTTGGACGTCAGTATTTTCGATGTGACCCGTGTCCTCCAGAGGAAGCACATGGTTTATTGTGGAGGAGATTTATGAGCTGCTGGCAGGATATTTCCCCCCAGGGCCGCAGATGATTTCAACTCTTTTATTCTCTTTAGACTCCAGTGTGATCTGCGAGCTGAAGGATGTTCCCGGAAACAGCAACGATTGGATCGTCCTGAAGGAAACGCTTCTGGGATGCTGGACGAATTTCACCACCCGGGACAACGAGAGAGAAGTCCACATCCTAAACCTGCTGTACACACACGTGAGTCGCTTTCATTCAGAAATCCAGCTCAGACCAGCCGCTGGAAAGACCAGCTCAGACCAGTATGAAGTGGTTCAGACTGGTTTAGTGTTGGCAGACCAGACACCCACTTTAGCATTGTTCGAGTACTTAATACAAAAGTAATATACTTAAGTGTGAACTGAAAATGTACTATAGTTTAATTTTGGATTATATGCACTTAGTTGAGTGTTTTTGAGCCACTTAACTCGAGCACATTTTATGTGTAATACTGCTGAAAATACTGCATTTTTAATTGCACATTTGCATGATGAAATTGCAGTTAAGTGCATTTAAAATTGTAAAACTTTAAATGTAATATCAGTACAGTTAAAATTATATTCAAGTACTTTTAATGTGCTTTGTTATGTTAGTCAACACGTCAAGTGCACTTCTTTAAAAGGTTATTATGACATAATGACTTTTTAAATGTGTACTTAAGTGTGTTAAGTGGAGTCAATAATTAATTGTCTTGCGTAAAACTCATCTTTGATCATCAAAATGACATATTTAAGCGTGTTTTCCATAAAAAAGAAGAACGTAACTCGACACCCTCGCCTCATTTAGTATGTGCGGTTCTATAAATATGCAAATGAGCCCCGCCTCCACTCAGCTCAGAGATCAGCTTGTGTACGGAAAAACTACTTTTTAATGTTGTTTATGTGTCTATGTGGTGTTTTTAAGTTGATAAGTGGACAGCATTGCTGAGTATTTCCTCCTTAAAACTGCAGTGAACCAAAGAAATCGCTTTGAAATCGCTGGTGTTTCTGACGGATCAGATCAACGTGTGATCGTCAACCAGTGGATCTCTGAGCAAGTGAGTGGAGGCGGGGCTAATTTGCATATTCATAGAACCACGCATTCTAAATGAGGAAAGGGTGTCGAGTTACATTCAATACATTTAAAGGCACTTTTTGTCAAGGTAAAAAGCTTCAAATATGTAATTTTGGTGATCAAAGATGAGTTTTAAGGGATTAAATGATTGTTTAATAGTCCAGCACAATGAATAGCAGATTTCCCATGTTGAAACGTCTCGTATGAGCAGGAACGTCACTAACACTGGTTTCTCCACGTGGGGTTGAGAAAGACCAACACGGAGCATTAGTGAGCATCTCCCATGATGCAACACTCAACGCAGGAGGCTTTTGTGTGTCGCCGTCATCATTCATGTGTGTGTTTGCTCTTTAAATACACTCTTCATGTCGTTTAAACTTTATATGATTAATAATCAGCTTCACTGAAAGGCTTTTTCCGGATGATTCACGGTGTGTTTCTTCATCTGTGCCATACGAGTGAATTGATTATAATAATAATTTCAACACAAAGCTGTGGAAATGTCCTGTCCTTAATCTTCTGGAGTGAATTATAAAGTTGAGTTTCACAAAGGAGAAACATATTTTCTGTCCAGTTTTGTTCCTCACGAGGAGTTTTGTGAAAAGAAACGGCTTTGTTCAAACACACTGATCACAGAGGAGATCTTCAAACCAAATATAAGTGCACTTGATTGTCCTGAATGTGCACTTTAAATCTTCAAGGCAAACATACTTGCAGATCATATAATATTCATGAAATAAAAGGCCACTTTACTGTAGTACTTAAAGATAGCTCTCTCTCATGACTGTGATTCTTGACACACTTAAGTGAAGTGTAGTTATAAGTTCATTATAAATCATTACAAATCATTCAGTATGTAATATAAATCTCATGTGAATAAATCTGAGAAGTTTCAGCTCGAAATATCATTTATTATAAGTTTATACCCCACTTATTATTTATTATATATACTAGGTGGAAGGATTAGCATGCTGTTTTCGTGCATGTACTGTATCTTTAAATGCAAATGAGCTGCTGGGTCCCCGCCTCCTTCCCAGAAGAGGGCGGAGCCTGTTCAGTGCCTCAGATACTCTGCCAAAAACTAAAACATTTGGTTTTGATTATCTTCTCTATCACGGTCCATAAGCTGGATGTCAGACGCACATTATTAAACTGAATATTAGCAGATTCCTGATTACTGTTTCAGATTAATGGAGAAGACAAACAGGGCGGTTGTGACACACTAATCATGGTGTGTAATGAAATAAAATACACATAATTATGTTAAAATCATTTGTTGTGCTTTAAAGAAGTGTGCTTATTTTGATGTGTTGATTAAAGCACACTTTAGTGTGTTATTCAATCAACATGTGTAAATACAAATATTTAAGTTTTAATAGAAAGTGTACTTCTTTTTCACACTTCTTTTTAAAGGATTAGGTCACTTTTAAAAAAACTTTTGCTGATAATTTACTCACCCCCATGTCATCCGAGATGTCCACGTCTTTCTTTCTTCAGTCGAAAAGAAATGAAGGTTTTTGATGAAAACATTCCAGGATTTTCTCCACATAATGGACTTCAATGGGGACCAAACGGTTCAAGGTCCAAATGAGAGTTTCAGTGCAGCTTCAAAGGGCTTTAAACGACTCCAGACGATGAATAAGGGTCTTATCAAGCGAAACGATCGCTCATTTAATAAATAAATAAAAAAGTTTACGTTTAATTAGCACAAATGCTCGCCTTGCTCTGTTCTGTGATGACCGTTCGTGACTCTCCAGTTCGAATCAAAATGAACGAATCTTTTTTCGAGTCATTTTTTATGTAAATGATCCCATTACAGTAATGCATTGGGGAAAACACACACACACACACAGTATAAGCTGGAGCTGACCCGGTCGAGGGGAGACGTACACACACACACACAAACACAGTGTAAGTAAGTTGTGTCGGAGTGGGCGGAGCTTCAGCTTCAGTGATGTCACTGTCTAGAGCACTGGAGCCGAGGGGAGACAAACACACACACACACTGTAAGGCGACCCGGTCGAGGGAGAGACGAAGAATAACCGGAAACTGTTATGCATCAGCAAAGCCCTGAAAAAAAACTGCTCTGGAGAAAAAAATTCACAAAAGGAAAACAATTGTATCTTAAAAGCACAGGAACAGAAATAGCCAGGGCGAGTGATCAGACATTGTGTGACCCGAGCGGAGTGAGGCGGACAGCGATGGATTATGGGACGCGCCTGCGTGTGTGTGTGTGTGTGTGTAAACACCATTGAGGATTGGTGCAAATTATTAACATGGCTGATTGTTTCCTTCAGCAAATATTAAATATAGAAGCTCGTTCGCGGAAATCAAGCTAAACACGTTAGCAATGGAAGTACATCAGAACAGATCCAAACTGTTGATCCACAGGTGAAGAGTTGTAAAATGTATATTTTCCTGCATTAAATGACAAAACTACAAATATTAGGACACTAACATTAATTTGATTAAATCTCACAAAAGATTATTTTTCAAATAAATGCTGTTTTTTTTACTTTCTATTCATCAAAGAATCCTGTAAAATTTCCACAATAAAATGAATTTTGATAATAATCATAGTTTCCTGAGCATCCTCATATTAGAGTGATTTCTGAAGGGTCATGTGACACTGAAGACTGGAGTAATGATTCAGGAATAAATTACACTTTATTATACATTCACATTTACATTGGAATAATGTTTATTAATAATAATATTAGAATTATTATTATTATTAATATATATATTAATATTCTATTAGAAATAATAGAATAATATTTTTTTAATATTTCACAGTTTTTACTGTACTTTTGATCAAATCACTCGCGGATAAACGAAGATGAGCAGCGAGGCGGATTAGCTGAGGCTAGCAGACAAGTGACATCAGCGGCAATCCACCTGTCACTCACCCTAATTATGCAGAACTTTAGGGCTTAATATAATTTAAACGGATGAGTTATAAAATAATTCCCCCTCACAGTCGTCATGAAGGGCAACATTAGCGATATAGACCAAAACCACTTTTAGCCCAGACTGTAAACATGTTTATTTCTGCTTGGCCATTTTAACATGCGGGTCTATGGGAGTGAGTCTCGTCTGCAGCGCCTCTAGTGGCCAGAGGAGGAACTGCAGGATAACTCTCTCAGTGCTGGTTATAGAGAGAGAGAGAGAGGTCGCCACTCCTGTAGCGAGTGTGTTTGTGCATCGGGTTTAGCTGTAATTAGCACATCATTGCCTGCACTCATGAATCTCCAGAGCCAACGCTCCCATCATGCACTTCTGCAGGGCTCGACTTGACCCGCTGTGCTGAGGTCCCGTTCATCCCATCAATCCCAGTCTCCAGTCTGGGAAACTCCAGCTGAAATGTGATTCTCGTGTTTTTGCAGTAAGATTTATGAAGTGTGTGTGTGTGTGTGTGTGTGCTGGTATAAGCTGAAGTTTTGCTCTGGGTTTTCTCAGCCGTTTCCCTTGTGTTTGCTTAATTTGCTTTAACATGCACTTGTAGTGTTCTTCAAATGTTAAAAGTATAAAAGTAGAGAGTTACACTTTCATGATTGTTCTTAAAAAGTGCACTCGAATTAATGGTTTTACCTTAAATAGGTCATTTGATGCCCGTTTGATGTCAGTTGCTATGGGTGTTCATGTAAAGTTTGGTTAAAATCCCTCAATGTTTGTGTAAAACAGCTGTTCACAGCGACCCGTTTCGGTGCATGTCTCTTTAAAGGGATAGTTCACTTTGAAATTAATTTTTGATATGTTTTATCTTCCCTCAAGGGCATCCAAGATGTAGGTGTCTTTGTTTCCACAGTATTTTCAATTTTGACATTTTTCAGTCAAACCGTTGTTGTCTATCAGTCATATAATGGAAGTCTATGGTCACCACCTCAAAGAGCATGCACAGAGAAGTCCAAATTAAACATGATTTAATGACTCGAATATGTATTTATTTATTTTTTTTGTATATGTGTGATGCTTTGTCTCTGTTTTTAGGGTGACTGTGTAACATTCTGTCAAGGGTCTACGGATGAAAAATAGCCTCTTGGGCCTCTTTACACTTGTTTATTAATGTGCATTGACCCTGTAAAAAAAAAAAAAAATGTAAGTACACATTGATGGCCTAAGACACGAAACGAGCGTTTTTTGTGAGAAAACGAACAGTATTTATTTTATTTTATTTATTTTTTAATTTCAACTAACCCCTCAGCCAAACCCTAACCCTACAGTAAGCACATGCAGATACTTCATATTACTTAAATATATAATTACACTGTAACAATGACACCTTAAAATAAAGTGTAACCGAAAGACACACGTTGAACAATTGAAGAGTTCAGATGCAAAAGCCTCTAAATGCCATTTGAAATTTTCTTCTTGAATGATGATTTTTTATCAAACTTGTATATTTAAGTTCAGTAATTTCACTTAAATAACAATTAATAGGTAATTATCATTGCCATTTAAGTGAAATCACTGAACTTAAATATACAAGCTTGATAAAAATGATCATTCTAGAAGAAAATTTCAAATGGCACTTAGAGGCTTTTGCATCTGAACTCTTCAATTATACTTGATAAAAAGTCTAAACTAACAATCAGACTGTGTGCGACAGGTTCATTTAGAAACCTTAGAAAATTCTCTTTTTTTAAAATGGAGAACAACTGAGGCTTAATTAACTCTAAGCTTTGCATTATTTTCCTCCATTGTGCGGTATAAATAGAGTCTAAAAAAGAAAAAGTGGCCTTGAAAATCCCGGATGATGCACTTAATTAAGCGGAAAAGGGAAGTGTGTAATGTTGGACATGCACTGAAGCCGTGTTCAATAATAACCTTAAAAACGAGTACACTACTAGTTAAGTATGTAGTGTAAGTGCACGGTTTAGTAAAGCACAGGTAAAGATAAAGGCGAAGCGTCCAGTCCTCAGTCCAGCACGTCTGAATGTCTGCAAAACAACCCCAGACCAGCACACATGTTTATGGTGTGTGTGATTTCTCTGCTTCCTAATCACAGGAAAAGAGCCTGTGGGAATTTCTGCCGCCCGGATCAGATTGTGTCTCATTTCAGAATCAGATCCTCATCTGGAAGAGAAAGAGCGAGTGTGTGTGGGATGAGAAACGCGTGAATTGTGGACCGCTGAGCTGCGCTTTGGTTTGAGAGTTAGATAAGAGTAACAGCACACGAGTGTTTCTCATGTAAACTCTGCTGTTGTGTTCCGGCCGGGGCTTTACAGTTATATAACAGTTATTGTTGATTCATATTTCAGATATATCTATTTAAAATGTACTTTTGATGAATGTAAATGCATCAGTTTGTATATATATGTGTGTGTGAGTGAGTGAGATATATATTATATCTTATATCTACGGCTTGGAAACGATTAATCGCGATTAATCGCGATTAATCGCATCCAAAATAAAAGTTTGTGTGTACATAATATATGTGTGTGTGTTGTGTGTATAATTATTTTGTATAAATAAATACACACACATGCATGTAAACATTTTTGCATGTATGTACTTTATATATATTTATACAAAATTATTTTTATACATAAATATAAATATTTGATATATTAATAACACATTTTTCTTAAATATATACATGCATATGTGTGTATTTATATATACAAAATAATTATACACACAGCACACACATATATTATGTACACACAAACTTTTATTTTGGATGCGATTAATCGGGATTAATCGTTTCCCAGCCCTATTATATATATATATATATATATATATATATATATATATATATTAGGGCTGTGCAAAAATTAATTGCGATTAATCGCATCCAAAATAAAAGTCTGTGTTTACATAATATATTTGTGTGTGCTGTATATAATTATTTTGTATATATAAATACCTATGCATGCATGTATATATTTAAGAATTATTTGCGCTTAAATTCTGTATATATATATAAATACATAATCTATATTATATAAATATAAATATTTTATATATGAATAAAACATTTTCTTTAAATATATACATGCATGTGTGTGTATTTATATATACAAAATAATTATATACAGCACACACAAATATATTATGTAAACACAGACTTTTATTTTGGATGCGATTAATCGCAATTAATTTTTGCACAGCCCTAATATATATATATATATATATATATATATATATATATAAATATTTTTAAATGGACAATATGCAGTGCTGTTCACTGCGGAAGCATTCAGAGCTTATACTGTATCTAAACTAGCAATTGCAAGAAAACAAGTCAGAATTGTGAGATAAAAAGTCAGTTATTGTGTTCATTTTTCAGGCCAAATGGGCTCAGATATTAATTTCAGAAACCGTTCTTGTATTTTCACAGGATAAAAATATGTTCTTCGCCCTCGACGTCACTGCAGCGAACCCGTCCGTGCTGATCATCACCTCTACAGCCACACAAACCATCCAGGTCGTGCTTCAGAACAATCCCGCAGTGAAGATCGTAGTGAGTACCAGTGCATTCAGTCTATACATCACAGCAAATAAGAGATGTTGTGCATGGCAAACGATGCATCCACGTTTGTTGACGAGCCGCCAGCACAAAGACTCGTACATCCGCGTCTTTATATTGAACAGTGGAGCTAATGGCCCGTCGCGTGGGATCCGCTGGCAGGTGCCTGACAATAAACGCACACACAGCTGTGCATTTCAGCTCTGTTTCGAGAGGCAATTAACCCTGTTTGTTTAGCCTGCGACCCCATGGGAATTTGCAAACAGACTTAACTAGTGTTGAATGTAGATGTGCCAGAGCACTCCAAACAAAACAGCCCGCTATGACAATTTGTTTTCTTCAATTTGCTCTTTCCACCGTCGAACCTTGTTAACCTTTATTAGATTGCTGTGAAACAAAGCACACTGCGAAACCCAAACGTTTATAAAATTCAGCTACGATTGTGACTGAATTCCAAAACCAGGATGCAAAATATTCAAAATGTAGTTTTTTTAATATAAAATGATGGCATGGAGGAGACATATCGCCATCATGAAATACACATTTCAGCATTATCACTAATCTGTGTGTGCATTTTACTTACAGTTTTTTTTATTCGCTTTGGTACTATTTTCACAAGTAAGGTGTACATTTTCAAAACTCTTAGTACAAAAATCCAAACCGCAGCTAGTCATTCTTTCAAAACCTGATGTAATGCTTTCAGTCCGTTGCGCATGTTTTCAGTCCACATAATCATTATTTCAAACACAAGATTATTGTAATATGTAATGAGAACATTTGGTTTAATCACTGAAACACAACATGATCTTCTTTCAGTTTAGTACTTTTAACAATCAGTTCATCTAACAGCAAACAATGCAAGATACATGTTTCAAATCGGCCTTAGAAGTGCTGAAATGAATATGCTACAGTACTATACTGTAAAAGACAGATTACACAGTTTTACTGTAACATTAGGCAATACACTTACAGTACCCAACATTTACATACATAATCTATAATTTCCAAATATCCATCATATAGGCCTAATCAAGTGAAGGATCAATGAAGACATCCTCTACAATCATTTAGGCAAATTATAGTTTTTATTTTTCAGATAAAATTGTAACAGAGGTATACTTTCTATAATGAAATGTAACTAAATAAGAACAAAACATAACATTTAGTGCACACATTACTGTATATAGAGGCCAATTGTGGTCACCACTATGTGAAATCAATTAGCTATAACGAGTGTTCATCATGTGTGGTTACATGTAATTTACTTGTAAATATTCATAACACACATTTTATTTCTGTAGTTCTCAAAATCCATATACTGTATAATTGCTGAATTGAAAATCTATAGGTTTACCAAATGATTAATTGATTAAACATTAAGATCAGTTGGATTAAATAATAGACAAAAGTATTAAACTGAACAAAAAGAGATGCAAATCAAAAGTTTGATAGTAAGAGCTTTATGAAAGGCGGTTTACACTTATTTTGTGTTGTGAAAAGGATACTTTGTGATTGTGTGAATTGTACTAACACAGTTGAAAACATGATGAAATGTTTGAAAAAAGTGCACTTTTGATGATCTGTTGTGATATTAGCACTACGAGTTTTGAAAATGTACACCTTACTTGTGAAAATAGTACCAAAGCGAATAAAAAAAACTGTAAGAAACAACCAATAATCACCTAAAGGAACTTAAAGGATCTTAATAAACATTCCTTTTTTTAAAGACACAGACTGGCCTGCATGTGGAGACTGAAGCAGATTTATATATTATTTATATCTTATCCTTAAAGGAAACTCCCATCTATTTCACAGGTGACGAATGGGACTTCAATAAAGTTTTTTGGAAGTGAACCGCCTGAAGTTGTGCCGTCGGCAGACGGAGATTCTGAACTTCTGAAATGGGCCACAGATACATATGGAGGAGTCACGTCCTTCACCACGGCACGACATCCCAGTAACGTCGTTTTCACGGGGATTCCGGGTAAGATCAGACTCTCTGATTGTCATTGGCTCTGAAGTCGTTTGTGTTATCATTAATCCAATCATTTGCCTCTTCCAGGCACACTCTTCCAGCGACCCTCCACATGCGACCTGCAGCCGGAAACACCAGCAGATAAACACTTCATCAAACTGGACCTGCACGAGCCATCCGACGAGCTGCAATCGTGTTACATGAAGCATCCTGGAAAACAGCTGCACGTGATTAATATTCCTGACGACGTCAAAATAAGGTCGGTGTCAAAATAAATGTCCTTTATTCCTGTATGATATTCCATTGGTCCAAAATTCTCCATCATTGGTTACCAGAACTGTACCTTTTCGTTCCATCTATCATCTCTTCTGTCTACACTACCAGTCAAAAGTATTATGCTATTTTAAAGGTCCCTAATTTTGCGTTAAAGGTCTCCTACAATAGGTTTAAATGCATCAGTTTTCTGGTAATATCCACTACTACAGCATCAGCTCTCTAAACTCCGCCTCTCTGAGAGATGCTTTCCTCTTATTGGTCGGATGGCCCACTCTGCTGTGATTGGTCAGAAACCAAATGCTCATTATCATATCTGAATCTCAGCTCTTGATATACAGTGATACGAACCGTAACAATGGCGTGGGTTTCACCGGATCAGTCTCATAAAACAACAATTAACGAACACAAACCAAACTCTTCCAGTCTCAGATACACTACAGTGTTTGAGGGCGGGGCTAAGAGACAGAGTTCAGCCAATCAAGCCAATAGATTCTAAATTTGTTACATCAAAGTCAGTTCATCAGTTCTTTCTTTTAGGAGACAAAAACTTTTATCTGCACTTTAATTGTCAGAGCGTTTACATTCACAAACAGCTTAATTACACACTACATGAAAGGAGCTATAATGCACTATAAAGGCAGACTTGAACATAAGGACATCTCTCAAAAACATTAAAAATGTGTCATTTTGTTTCAGGCATGTGTCTGTGCATTTGTCATCCGAGTCTAAACTGCTCCTCCGAGGTCCACCAAACACTGAGTGGAAAATCCACATGGATCACGGCATCCAATCTTGGGTGAGAACTACAAAATAAGTACCGTTTTCATGGTAGAACCTAATAAATAATATATCAGCTTCTAATGCATCTTTCCTTCCTACAGTCCAACAATCCTATAATCGTGAATAACCGGACAGTAACCCGGAGGGAAAACATGACGCTCTCAGACGACGCAGGAGACATCAGACAGAAGGTTATGAAATACTTCGACGGCATGTCCATCACGAGCTACTCTGAGATCCGTCTGAACGTGTCGCACATCCAGCTGTGGATCAGGGACAACTCCAGCTCCTCGGGTAATGCCATGTGGGTTTACCATCTCCTTCAAATATGCTGAATGGAAGTTTGCTCGATTGCTTGATGCGTGAGTACATCGATCAAGTACGTTTTAGCTTCCGTTTATCGTATTTGAGTGCTCTATGAATGCCGCTGCCGAGCACCATAACGCACTTCTAGCCAATCAGCAGTAAGGGGCGCCCCACTCATTAGGGGGAGGTGCCTATGTTGCATAGCATGTTTGTGAATTTGGGGGCGGGGCTATAAAGATAAGCGTGTTTTGGTGATTTCATATATCAACAGCATTTCTCAGAAATCGCTTACGGCACATTTAAAGTCCCCCTTTGGTGTAAATCCAGCTTTTAATGTTGTTTATGTCCATGTGTGCGTTCATAAGTGGACAGTATTTCCTCCTTAAAACTGCAGTGAACCAAAGACAGTCCCAAAAACACGCTTTGAAATCGCAAAACACCTTGTAACCAATCAGATCAACGTGTGATCGTCAACCAGTGAGTGAGTGAGTGGAGGCGGGGCTCATTTGCATATTCATAGAACCGCGCATACTAAATGAGGCGAGGGTGTCGAATTACATTCAAGCTATTTTAAGGCATGATGAATTTTTATCAAGTAAAAAACATTTAGATATGTAATTTTGGTGATTAAAGATGAGATTTACGTGATACAATTATTGACTAAGGGGGACTTTAATATTGAGTTATTTTAGACACAATATTTAATTTTTTTGCTTAGTTTCGCCAATGAAAATATTACCTATATATCAATCAATCAATCGGGTGAACCAGTGATTCAATGACTCATTCATAAAGAGAGCCATTTACTTCTGAATGAATCAGCTGTTTGAAGAAATGGAATGAATGATTTAATGACTCATTCATAAAGAGAGCCATTTACTTCTGAATGAATCAGCTGTTTGAACAAATCAACTGAATGATTCAATGACTCATTCATTAAGAGAGCCATTTACTTCTGAATGAATCAGCTGTTTGAAGAAATGGAATGAATGATTCAATGACTCATTCATAAAGAGAGCCATTTACTTCTGAATGAATCAGCTGTTTGAACAAATGGAATGAATGATTCAATGACTCATTCATAAAGAGAGCCATTTACTTCTGAATGAATCAGCTGTTTGAAGAAATGGAATGAATGATTCAATGACTCATTCATATAGAGAGCCATTTAACCAGGTCCACGTTCACATAGCAAGTGCCAAAACCTTTACTAAGTTCGTACCATGCCGCTGTCGCTCAAGTGTTCCTGTAAAGGGTTATTCCTGTACATCTCACTGTGTCATCCATGTCTCTGTGCCGCAGGACCATCAGAAGGGCCGCTCACGACTCCGGCACCCACGTCTAAATCAGTGGCTCCGTTTGAGATGCAGTTGTTCTCGTCTCCAGACTTCAGGTCACCTCTGGATTCTAACAGCAAAGTTCTGAGTGACAAGAGGGTGTATGCGGAGGTAGATGAGCAGTCTCATGTGTTCAAAGGCCCATATCCTACATTTATTAACGTGCATTGTGATGCATGAGCCATCGTTCCCCATTCAGTGTTTAACAATAACAACTATTATTATTGATGTTGTTGTTAATTGTAATAATAGAATAATTATTATCATTCAAAATATATTTACATTTTAAATTATACAAAATTTCTATTCAAATATATTACCTTAGCATTTTGGATACTAATACTAAATTACACTACTAATATTTACGGTTAGGTTCTTGTTATTATTATTTTTATTTTATTTGAATTTTTACAAAATAATATTTAATTGTATTAGTATTTAGTGTTATTTTATTGTTGTTGAAATAATATGATTGCACTTTAAAATACAAAACTATTATTTGATAATAAATAATAATAATATTTCACAACACAATATAATTTCTTTGCCTTCAATTACTTTGCGTATTATTGTTATTATTTGTATTATTCAAAAAGTATTTTATTTAAATTGTTATTTATTAGATAAATAAATAAATAAATAAATAAATATACTACTGTTGCAATAATGTTATTGTACTGTCAAATAAAAAAAAAACAAATATTCAATAATAATAATAATTATTATTTTATTTTAAATACCCAGTAATAAAATGACAATACTGTTAATTTTTGTTCTTTTTTTGTTTTGTTTTCGAATATTAAACTGTATAGTTTTTATTTTGGCAGAAAACCACTGGCATCTTCTCTTTTGATTTATAATTGATTCTCATTGCAAATTTAGAAATCTGATCTCTTTTCAAAGACGACACTTGGTTGTCAGATTACTGCCGAAGTGAAACAAGTTTTAAAAAGCGAACTTAAAAAAAATAAAAAATCAACAACAAAAAAATATCTAAACTAGATGTGTTCAAAATTTGAGCCTGATATCTCGGCTGCAGTACCAAACGCTTCCACTAGGTTAAATTCGTCTCACATTAATTTCCAATGTGCTCATTTTTGACCGCGATGACTATTTTTTTCTGGACCATTTAACCCTTGTTATTTTTTTATTTTTTTTGAGTTCTCATAGCAATTTCGAAAACCTTTACCAAGTTTCGTACAATTCCGATGAAGAAAAAAAGAAAAAAACATTTTGGGTTATCAAATGTCAAGTTTATTGATTGAGGTTCTGTATGGATGTATATCACAGTTTTAGTTTGTCTTTCTCTTCACCAGATCTCCCATCCAATCATGGAAGGGATCCCGTTCAGCATCGAGGTCATCCGGTGTTGGGTTCAATCCACGCCAGTGGTGAGGAAAATATCCCTCAAAGAGGAGTCGTGTTTCAACGACTGTCCCAACAAGCTCAGATTCTCCTTCGAGATGCTCCAGGACCTGCCGTCCAGCTCGTGGGACCTAGAATGCACAGTTCGACTTTGCTTTGCCCCGCATAAGGTGTGTTGAGCTCTGTCGTGCAAACATGACTCTCTCCAAAGCCCATATTATACAATCATCTCTTCTCGTTTTCTTTTGTGATTTTAGTTTTGTGACAAAGAAACACAAGTCAAGAGGAACTTGCAGGTCAAGCCATATATACCGAACGCAAGTGAGTACGACTTACAAAACATCTCATTTCATCTCAAATACTTCTCAAGTGCACCAAGAAAAAAAGATAAAAGTCCACTTAAAGCGCAATGCTTGGTGTTTAAATAGATTATGTCAATAACTACTGGTTTTGTATTGTAATAATACTAGTGATCAGATTAGATCAGATCTGATTTTTTTAAATATCAGCATCATCATATCTGTTTTTCTGTTTGCTTTTAAGAGTCGGAAACAGGACTTTTATTTTGACATGATCCTCTCTAGTCAAGATTTTTACAACTTCTTCATTCATAAAAAAAATATTACAATAGGATTGCAGAATCAAGAATGTTTTTTTTTCCCATCAAGATCAAATGGTTTTCATATTGATTCATATTCTAATTATTTATTTCTAATTTCACTGCAAGTATTATTTACTATCTTTAAATTAAATATTGTGATATCAAATATATTGGGTTTATATTTTTATTATTCAAAAATATTTTATTTAAATTGTATTTAAATTCTTAAAAAAAATATATATATATATATATATATATTACTGTTGCAATAATACTATTGTACTGTCAAATAAAAAATAAGTATTTAATAATAATAATAATTTTATTTTAAAGGAACCACAGTAAAATGACAATACTATAAATTGTTTTTTCTTTTTTTTCTTTCAAATTTAATATTGATTCATATTCTAATTATTTATTTCTAATTTCACTGCAAGTATTATTTACTATCTTTAAATTAAATATTGTGATATCAAATATATTGGGTTTATATTTTTATTATTCAAAAATATTTTATTTAAATTGTATTTAAATTCTTAAATATATATATATGGTATTGTACTGTCAAATAAAAAATAAGCATTTAATAATAATAATAATTTTATTTTAATGGAACCACAGTAAAATGACAATACTATAAATTCTTTTTTCTTTTTTTCTTTCAAATTTTATATTGATTCATTTTCTAATTATTTCTAATTTAGTAAATATGTTACGTATTAGTTTCACTGCAAATATTATTTACTATCTTTAAATTAAATAGTGTGATATCAAATATATTGTATTGTATATTTATATCTGCATTGGTAATTAAAAACAAATCCACATTGATCGACTTCTATGTAATACAATAGTAGCAAATGAGACAACCACATCATTTCTGAAATGTATTAATTTTTAAGTGCTGAAATACCGCCCCTTTTTATCCTGTTAATTATGGCAATTAGCCACTCACATCAAACAATCTTTAAATAGCTTTTCTGAAATGTCAGTATGATAACGCACACTAATGTTTAATTAATAAGTCTTTCTCCCATTAATAAACACACAATGGCAGTTATTGTTGGGTCATCTGTGTGCGTCAGCTGCTGCATATTAATATCTCAGATATTCCGGAAACGTATGATACCCTATAACCTTGAACCCCGTTGTGCCGGATAACCTCGAGTCTTAATTTGGAAACATACAGGAAATAAATCCTCCCATTGGTTGCGTTGATTTGAGAGCGCAACAATGGGACGACACGCTATTCCAGCAACTCCCATCTCGCCTCAGCAAAACCGGCTCGGTCACGTGATGAGGTCGGCATACGTGGAGCGGAGGACGGGCCGGGGTGTTTATAGGAAGGTCTGCTCGATGACCTTGTGGCCGCAATCAGAAATAATGAGCCAGTAGGGGATTTATTGTGTCCGAGGTCTGGTATGCGTGGCCTTTCCGAAACACGGGCCCGGGTCTCTATTGTCAGGAACACACAAAGAAGGGAAGGTGTTGTTCTTCAAAAGGGAAGACGAGTCCCCGGGAAGATGAGTCAAGAACAAACCCTCGCATTCCTCTCCGGCGGCGTCCGTGGCGAGAGCACACACACACACACACACACACACACACACTGACACGGGGTCAGTTTCTGCAGGACTCTGCGTGCTGGATCCGTCTCCATCCACTCGGCTTCTGTAGCTCCTCTTTCCTCTTCTCGGGAGGCGGTCCTGACCTCCGTAGCGCTGTTTGTTTGTCCAGTGCATTCATGCTTAAAAAAAAATATTTGCATCAACAAAAGCAAACTTTTAGCCTACAATGGTCTTTTTTTTCTCAGAAGCTGCATCTGAATTACTTACTAACATTCTTTTAAAGTCTTGAAACGACATTGAGTAAACTGTATGTAAATAAACACAATTTTCATTTTTGGGCAAACAATCCCCAAACAATCCCCAAAATATTAAATCGATGAATGAGTCATTGAATCATTCATTCTAAATGAGTGAGTCATTGAATCATTCATTCATTTGATTTGTTCAAACAGCAGATTCATGGCTCGCTTTATGAATGAGTCATTGAATCATTGGTTCACCTGATTGATTTGCTCAAACTGCAGATTCATTCAGAAGTAATTGGCTCGCTTTATATAAGAGTCATTGAATCATTGGTTCTCCCGATTGATTTGCTCAAACTGCAGATTCATTCAGAAGGAAATGGCTGTCTTTATACATGAGTCATTGAATCATTGGTTCAACCCATTGATTTGCTCAAACTGCAGATTCATTCAGAAGGAAATGGCTCACTTTATCAATGAGTCATTGAATCATTTGTTCACCCGATTGATTTGCTCAAACAAAACTGCAGATTCATTCAGAAGTAAATGACTCTCTTTATAAATGAGTCATTGAATCATTGGTTCAACCCATTGATTTGCTCAAACTGCAGATTCATTCAGAAGTAAATGACTCTCTTTATAAATGAGTCATTGAATCATTTGTTCACCCCATTGATTTGCTCAAACTGCAGATTCAATCAGAAGTAAATGGTTCTCTTTATGAATGAGTCATTGAATCATTGGTTCACCCATTTGATTTGCTCAAACTGCAGATTCATTCAGAAGGAAATGGCTGTCTTTATAAATGAGTCATTGAATCATTGATTCACTCCATTAATTTGCTCCAACTGCAGATTCATTTGGAAGTACATTGAGTCAGTGAATCATTGGTTCACCCGATTGATTTGCTCAAACTGCAGATTCATTCAGAAGTAAATTACTCTCTTTATAAATGAGTCATAGAATCGTTGGTTCACCCGATTGATTTACTCGAACAAACTGCACATTCGTTCAGAAGTAAATGGCTCTCTATATAAATGAGTGATTGAATCATTGGTTCACCTGATTGATTCGCTCAAACAAAACTGCAGATTCATTCAGAAGTAAATGACTCTCTTTATAAACGAGTCATTGAATCATTGGATCACCCGCTTGATTCGCTCAAACCGCAGATGCAGTTCTACTCCGGCTTTATATTATTACAAAAATAGATAATATTGTGTATAATATAGTCCCCCTGTATAATTGTATCTCTTAAAGCTACTCTTTGATCACCAAAATGACATATTATATAAATATAAATATAAATTAGCTTGACTGTAACTCTACACCCGTGCCTCATTTAGTATACACAGTTCTATGAATATGCAAATGAGCCTCGTCAGCATACTAGATCTGTGCATTTATCCGTGTCAGTAATCAAACAACAAAAGAATCGTTCTCTCGTCAATAAATAACATTTGTAACTTGTAAAGAATCAGTGCATATTTAATTCATACAGAGTTTTAGCTTTACATGTCTATAAAAGTTGTCTATTATTAGAAGTTAAATTGTTTGTATGTTTCTGTCTCGTATGAGTCCTATTGTTCATGGCATTACCGACTGTGTCAACTCACTGTTCGAAGTGCAACTGCTGCGAAAGCACAGATTAATGGTTCAGGGGTCATTTGGGGGTTTTTATGAACACATTGACAGAAGTCTAGGATCGGCACTGCGTGTGGTGAGTCAGGAGTCGCTGTGTTTTGGAGGATGCGAGTCCTTCCTGTTTGAGGGGTCGAAGGTCATCGCCTCCTGACCCCCTGCTAACCGTTTCCGGCCTGTGTTTGCTCAGACTCTCTGACCAAACACACAAATAAAGCTGATATTTGGTGGAAGCTCTGCTGCTGACTTGGGGAGGAAAACAAATAAAAAGGGACATAAAACAGAGCCTTCCTGTGGCATCAAACCAAGAGTTCGTCAAGACCCCTGGGGAGTGTTATTAGAGCTGTTTTTGGTAAACACTCTCGCCGTCTTTGCAGAGGTGCGTGGCCTTTAGCAAACACCTCGCCATCAAAGAGCACGATTACAGAGAGATGGACAACTGGAGAGAAAATAAGCAGCTGCCATTGACCTTCCCGCTTCCCATCATTGTCCTGGAGAGGAAGATGCGAGCGTGTGTGGAGCGGCGCACATGAACACTGGAGGTCATACGCTGGATGTGTAACTAGAGAGTCAATCCACCCGGGAGACAGAAGATCAGCCTTTAACTCGCATGCATCAACATGCCTGGACCACCGAAGTGCTGTCAGTGCTAGCGAGTAACTAGCTAAAACTATTCATGCTACTAGCAACACTATGGGTTTTCTGTCAGAGCGGTGTCGTGTAAGTTAAAAAAACTTTTGCTGATAATTTACTCGCCCCCATGTCATCCAAGATGTCCATGTCTTTCTTTCTTCAGTCGAAAAGAAATGAAGGTTTTTGATGAAAACATTCCAGGATTTTCTCCATATAATGGACTTCAATGGGGTCCAAACGGTTCAAGGTCCAAAAGACAGTTTCAGTGCAAACTGCTCAAAGGGCTTTAAACGATTTCAGACGATGAATAAGGGTCTTATCAAGCGAAACGAGCGCTCATTTAAAAAAAAAAAGAACGTTTTATGAGCTCAAATGCTCGCCTTGCTCTATTCTGTTCGTGACTCTCCTGTTCGAACTCGTTCGTTGAAATGAACGAATATTTTCCCGAGTCAATTCATTCATTTCGTCCGTTTAATGAACCAAATGACACGAAAAATGATTCGTTCAGGTGAGTAACAGTCGTGGGGAACGAGTTATGTGTGACTTACATGAATACCCAAGAAGACGTATTTGGTAGAGTTTTCTCTGTCACCGTAAACTGCCCTGTCAATCATCCTTTCACCGTAAACTGCCCTGTCAATCATCCTGTCACCGTAAACTGCCCTGTCAATCATCCTGTCACCGTAAACTGGTCTGTCAATCATCCTGTTACCGTAAACTGGTCTGTCAATCATCCTGTCACCGTAAACTGCCCTGTCAATCATCCTGTCACCGTAAACTGCCCTGTCAATCATCCTGTCACCGTAAACTGGTCTGTCAATGATTCTGTCACCGTAAACTGCCCTGTCAATCATCCTGTCACCGTAAACTTCCCTGTCAATCATCCTGTCACCGTAAACTGCCCTGTCAATCATCCTGTCACCGTAAACTGGTCTGTCAATGATCCTGTCACCGTAAACTGCCCTGTCAATCATCCTGTCACCGTAAACTGCCCTGTCAATCATCCTGTCACCGTAAACTGCCCTGTCAATCATCCTGTCACCGTAAACTGGTCTGTCAATCATCCTGTCACCGTAAACTGCCCTGTCAATCATCCTGTCACCGTAAACTGCCCTGTCAATCATCCTGTCACCGTAAACTGGTCTGTCAATCATCCTGTTACCGTAAACTGGTCTGTCAATCATCCTGTCACCGTAAACTGCCCTGTCAATCATCCTGTCACCGTAAAGTGCCCTGTCAATCATCCTGTCACCGTAAACTGGTCTGTCAATGATTCTGTCACCGTAAACTGCCCTGTCAATCATCCTGTCACCGTAAACTTTCCTGTCAATCATCCTGTCACCGTAAACTGCCCTGTCAATCATCCTGTCACCGTAAACTGGTCTGTCAATGATTCTGTCACCGTAAACTGCCCTGTCAATCATCCTGTCACCGTAAACTGCCCTGTCAATCATCCTGTCACCGTAAACTGCCCTGTCAATCATCCTGTCACCGTAAACTGCCCTGTCAATCATCCTGTCACCGTAAACTGGTCTGTCAATGATTCTGTCACCGTAAACTGCCCTGTCAATCATCCTGTCACCGTAAACTGCCCTGTCAATCATCCTGTCACCGTAAACTGCCCTGTCAATCATCCTGTCACCGTAAACTGCCCTGTCAATCATCCTGTCACCGTAAACTGGTCTGTCAATGATTCTGTCACCGTAAATTGCCCTGTCAATCATCCTGTCACCGTAAACTGCCCTGTCAATCATCCTGTCACCGTAAACTGCCCTGTCAATCATCCCGTTACCGTAAACTGCCCTGTCAATCATCCTGTCACCGTAAACTGCCCTGTCAATCATCCTGTCACCGTAAACTGCCCTGTCAATCATCCTGTCACCGTAAACTGCCCTGTCAATCATCCTGTCACCGTAAACTGGTCTGTCAATCATCCGTTAAAATGAACGAATCTTTTCCCGAGTCAATTCATTCATTTCGTCCGTTTAATGAACCAAATGACACGAAAAACGATTCGTTCAGGTGAGTAACAGTCGTGGGGAACGAGTTATGTGTGACTTACATGAATACCCAAGAAGACGTATTTGGTAGAGTTTTCTCTGTCACCGTAAACTGCCCTGTCAATCATCCTGTCACCGTAAACTGCCCTGTCAATCATCCTGTCACCTAAAATTGCCCTGTCAATCATCCTGTCACCGTAAACTGCCCTGTCAATCATCCTGTCACCGTAAACTGCCCTGTCAATCATCCTGTCACCGTAAACTGCCCTGTCAATCATCCTGTCACCGTAAACTGCCCTGTCAATCATCCTGTCACCGTAAACTGCCCTGTCAATCATCCTGTCACCGTAAACTGCCCTGTCAATCATCCTGTCACCGTAAACTGCCCTGTCAATCATCCTGTCACCGTAAACTGCCCTGTCAATCATCCTGTCACCGTAAACTGCCCTGTCAATCATCCTGTCACCGTAAACTGCCCTGTCAATCATCCTGTCACCGTAAACTGCCCTGTCAATCATCCTGTCACCGTAAACTGGTCTGTCAATGATTCTGTCACCGTAAACTGCCCTGTCAATCATCCTGTCACCGTAAACTGCCCTGTCAATCATCCTGTCACCGTAAACTGGTCTGTCAATGATTCTGTCACCGTAAACTGGTCTGTCAATGATTCTGTCACCGTAAACTGCCCTGTCAATCATCCTGTCACCGTAAACTTCCCTGTCAATCATCCTGTCACCGTAAACTGGTCTGTCAATCATCCTGTCACCGTAAACTGGTCTGTCAATCATCCGTTAAAATGAACGAATATTTTCCCGAGTCAATTCATTCATTTCGTCCGTTTAATGAACCAAATGACACGAAAAATGATTCGTTCAGGTGAGTAACAGTCGTGGGGAACGAGTTATGTGTGACTTACATGAATACCCAAGAAGACGTATTTGGTAGAGTTTTCTCTGTCACCGTAAACTGGTCTGTCAATGATTCTGTCACCGTAAACTGCCCTGTCAATCATCCTGTCACCGTAAACTGCCCTGTCAATCATCCTGTCACCGTAAACTGCCCTGTCAATCATCCTGTCACCGTAAACTGGTCTGTCAATGATTCTGTCACCGTAAACTGGTCTGTCAATCATCCGTTAAAATGAACGAATCTTTTCCCGAGTCAATTCATTCATTTCGTCCGTTGAATGAACCAAATGACACGAAAAATGATTAGTTCGTTTTGATAAAAGTGATAAAATCTCCAAAGTGGTGATTTCTGGTAACGCCGGTTATGTGTGGCCGTGTCGACTGGGAGAAACAGGGTTTTAGGTTCTCAAACGTCACATTATGCGCCAGAAAACGAAAGTCACGTGAGCGCCCAGTTTGGCAGCGTTATGACGGTGCTTGATGGAGTATTTATACGGGTTGATGTGAACTAACTTTTTTGAAAACGATGTTGTGTCTCAATGTTGTTATTGAAAACGGAGGGGGGAGGGGGGTATTCTCAGTTATATGCAGTTGTCTTCCACTGAATGAGGGAAACTGAACACTTGCTTGCTTTGTTTCAGATCCGTGTTTTGAGTTCGGACTCTCGGCTGTTCTGGGAATCGCGTTCGGAGGATTCCTGATCGGGGTTCTCCTCACCGGTGCTTTATGGTTCATTAAGATTCGCACAGGTGAGTAACATGGTGTAGTGTATTTATGATTAGGACTCGTAATGCGAATTTAAAGTGCCGTCAGTCCCTCAGATCACCATCGGTGTCGCCAAACTGCGCCAAAATGTTCCAACGCACAATCAGAGTTTGCATACAGGTGCGCATTCTCCGTCTCGTTTTAATAGATCACGACCTTTGCTTGGGAAGGGGCAAACCAGGGTTGTAAACAAGCGTACGCCACGATTATAAATGAGACCCCTGGACTTGTGGAAAAGTCCTGAATATAAGCGGGTGTTGTGGACTCGTGATGTAACGTGTGCATGTGTTTCAGGGCATCCTGTGGCTCTGGGAATGAGATCAGCAGCGGCCGAACTCTCAGGTAAACCTCAATCTGTTCTTCTGCACACTTCCTCTGCTGTTTTCCTGTCGCATTTCCTTTCGAAGGTGCGATCGCTCCGCACGATAGTTGCTGTGGAAATCTGTCCTCGTTTGTTTTCGTGGATCGCGCTCCATATATAAGAGCCAACTCCTGCGAAGACCTCAGATGACGCAAGCTCTGAATGCACACGCAGTTTTGCATTGCACAAGGGATAGTTCACCGAAAATTACCGTGATACCGCAAACGACTTGAGGGTGCACATATGATGACCGAATTTTCATTTTGAAGTGAACTATCCCTTTAACAAACAAGCATTCATTACTTCAGTTAGCTCATTGTTTCTGCATTCAATAATTACATTGTTTAATCTGATACATTAGGATGAATTTAAGGGCTTTTAAGGCCCCCAGAGATCGATTTCATTAATGGAATGGGTGCGGTAGGGGCGAAACTCGAAACATGAGAATACGGTGCAAAAGTTATAATGTTGATGATTATGAAAACCCCAAATTCAAAATCTCAGAAAATTAGAATATTACATGAAATCAATTAATGAAAGGATTTTAAATATAGAAATGTCGGCCCTCTGAAAAGTTTAATCATACAGGTGAAACTCGAAAATTAGAATATCGTGCAAAAGTTAAAAAGTAAAAGGTAAAACTAATATATTATATAGACTAATTGCATGCAAAGTGAGATATTTCAAACCTTTATTTGTTATAATTGTGATGATTATGGCGTACAGATATGAAAACCTTTTCGAATTTGGGGTTTTCATAAACTGTTATAACAAATAAAGGCTTGAAATATCTCACTTTGCATGTAATGAGTCTATATAATCTATTAGTTTCACCTTTAAAGCTGCACTGTGTGATTTTTATCCCCCATCTAGTGGTGAAAAGGTATATGACCATCCAGTGAATATTAGTTTCTGTTCCTCTCAATTCCCATTTCGTTTTAACTCCTACGGTGGCCAATGTAGTCCAAGATTAACATGGCATCCGGTTCGACCTCGTCCATGAGTGTTAAACGCGAAAGGCGAAGCTTGAATTAACGGGTATGTCCCTCTTTGGCTAATGTACTTTTAAGATGGAGGGTCAACATGGCGACCGACATTAGAAGCCCTCACCCGTATGTATTTTCAATGGCATATTGAATACTTTATTACTTGAACGAAGTAAATATACATTAATGAGCACATATATTTTTGAAAGAACAAAGTGTTTCTAGCTACGAATAAACAGTGTAGTTTTAAGTTGAATTATTGAACTTTTGCACTTGTATATAATTATATATACAGTATATATATACTAAATATATTAGTTTCACCTTTTAATTTGAATTGCTGAAATACATCTAATTTTTCGAGTTGTATTCTTTCATAGGGCCCAAAAAATTGCTAGCGGTGCGTGTGTGAACTGCTAACTGAAGAATATTCCCTGTTTTGTCCAGTGCTTTCTCTCTCCGGATGCCCATGTGGTTTGACCAAACGCCAGCCCGTGCCCACCCACCCGTCTCCGTCCGAAGACAGCAGTGCCAACGCCAGCATCGGCAGCACCCAGAGCACTCCCACCAGCAGCATGGCATAACCAGAACATAACCAGCACTCCCCGTTCCTCACACACACTCCATTCGCTCCGCCGGCTACGGGAAGTCTGCGGGGACGAAGAATAAAAAAAGAAAACGCTTGGCTCCCAGAGACAGGAAAAACAACGCATAACCCCCAGGAACTAACAGGAAATTGGTGGCATTCCTGCGCCGGTGCCTCTCTGACGGAGGCCACATGAGATCTCTCAGACAAACAGCGCATGACGCATCAGTCCGGCTGAAGAGACGAACAAACAAACGTCAGCCGGACCGCCTCACATCCCGTAACACTCATGATGTGAGATGATGAAACTAATCAAAACAACGATGATAAAATGAAGCATTTTTATTTTTAGAGTTCGTACTGTACTCTCACATGCACGGGACAGATTGGAAAATGGCTACCTCGAGTCTCGAAGAGTCTCTATGGATGTAGATTTGTTAAATATTTGCTTGACCAAAACTACAAACAGTGGCTGCATGAATCTCATGAAATAATTATTTTTGCATATTTAACCCCCAAATCAATACAAAGCCCAAATTAATTATAAGACTTTTTTTTTTGCATTGCAATCTCATTATTATTACTGAAAATACTTTTTTTTTGGATCATAGTAGTATTTGTTGCATTGCTAAACTGAAAATTGTGAATTCAAATATTAATATTATGGCTGTAATAATTAATTAATACAATTAATTATAAGACTTTTTTTTTGTTTTTGCATTGCAATCTCATTCTTATTATTGATCTTACAATCCTAGTACTTGTTGCATTGCTAAATTATTATTATTATTTTTTTTAAATATAAATATTATGGCTGTTTTAAATAATAAAGTAATGACCCCCGAATCAATACAAAGCCCAAATTAATTATAAGACTTTTTTTTGCATTGCAATCTCATTATTATTACTGAAAATTTGAATTATAATTTTTTGGATCATAGTAGTATTTTTTTCGTAAATTGTGATTTTTTGAATATAAATATAAGACTTTTTTTGTTTTTGCATCGCAATCTCATTCTTATTATTGAAATTACAGTACTTGTTGCACTTGTTGCATAGCTAAATAATTTTTTTTTAATTTTTAAATATACTGTAAATATTAATTATAAGACTTTTTTTGCATTGCATTCTCATTATTATTACTGAAAATTTGAATTATATATTTTTTGGATCATAGTAGTACTTGTTGCATTGCTAAATTATTTTTTTTGAATTTAAATATAAATATTATGGCTGTCATAATTAATTAATACAATTAATTATGAGACTTTTTTGTTTTTGCATTGCAATCTCATTCTTATCAAAATGCCAATTTTTTGCGGATCATAGTACTTGTTGCATTGCTAAATTATTTTTTTATTTAATTATAAATCTAATAAATTAATAATCCATAATTTTCTTTATGCAATTTTATTTTTCTTCCTCTTTTGATTATGGGGTGAAATATGAGCCAAAAATGTTTTCATGAGATTCGTATGGGTGTTTTTTTTTCTTCTTATGATCAAATGTTTTTTTCATAAAATTTTGTAACTTTGTCATGAAACTGTGGCTATTAGCAATTGTAATTAAGCAACTTCAAATGAGTTTTTTTACTCTTTATTTTGAGGTGACGTAGTTACACATTACTGCATGTACTTCCTATTTTAATAACAGTAAATTATGCATAACTACCACATCATAACCATAACTCTACATGATTAATTCATATTCTCAGTACTTATTTGAGCAAGTACAATGTAACTACATTACCTTAAAAAAATGTGTGTGTGGCGCTTATTCTATGTACAGTATATGTATTATGCTGTAGATTCAGTATATAGTAAATTCATAACTTCAGCAGTTGACCTGAAGTTTTCATATTTGAGTTTATAAGTGAAATGAGCCCAACAAAACCAAAAACTCTTGTGATGTAGCTTATTTTACAACAGTATACTGTATACTAAGTATTTCATGTGAATTTATTCATGTATTTGTATTATTTTGTGTGTGTGTGTGTGTGTGTGTGTGTGTGTGAGAGACAAAATCAGCATCACTTCTCAACCCTCATGTTATTCCAAGCCTGTGTGCCTTTCTCTCATCGGTGGAGCACAAAAGGAGACGTTTAGCACAATGTTCACGCTGCTCTTTTGCAGACAGAGGAATAAAAGTATTCACACGCCACATCCCACGTCTTCTGACATCATCTGATAGTTTTGTATTGAGGAACAGATCGAAACGTGCATCATGTTCAGTGTGTGGTGTGTGACGGATGTGTGTGTGTGCGGCGTACAGCTGTGAACTGTTCCTTTAACATCAGCTGGATGTGAAACGCAGGAAAATGCCACTTGTGCATTTGGTGCAATATCTGTGGTATTCTTTTATGTTTTATATAATTATTTGTGTCTGTGTGTAAACTGTTTTATACCGCATTGTTATATCAACTTTTATAAATAACATTTGTATCACATGTTTCTGTTCTCTCTGGAACGTTGCCATTTTAAAGTACTTCCCGAACGGTCATTATCTGGTCATATTTGTCCAGTTTTCCCCATTTTGAAGAATTATTTTAATCCAATTTGACATACCTTAAATTAAATCATGAAAAAAATGCCTCTGAATGTCATTACAGTTTATTTATTGCTTCTCCGGTGATGTTGTTGTCTTGTGCTGAGACTTGCAGAACTGCCTAAAGTTTTGTCCAACTCTGTTCTGCACATGTACAGTATATTACAGTATATTGCCGTATATTACCGTATATTACAGTATATTATTGCCTTATATTACAGTATATTGCCTTATATTACAGTATATTGCCGTATATTACAATATATTACTGTATATTTCCGTATATTACAGTATATTGCTGTATATTACAGTATATTGCCATATATTACTGTATATTACAGCATATTACTGTATATTACAGTATATTACCGTATATTACAGTATATAACAGTATATTACAGTATATTACCGTATATATTACAGTATTACCTTGTATTACAGTTTATTGCCATGTATTACAGTATATTACTGTATATTACAGTATATTGCTTATATTACAGTATATTGCCTTATATTACAGTATATTGCCTTATATTACATTATATTGCCGTATATTACAATATATTACTGTATATTTCCGTATATTACAGTATATTGCTGTATATTACAGTATATTGCCATATATTACTGTATATTACAGCATATTACTGTATATTACAGTATATTGCCATATATTACTGTATATTACAGCATATTACTGTATATTACAGTATATTACAGTATATTATTGTATATTACAGTATATTGCCTTATATTACAGTATATTGCCGTATATTACCGTATATTACCGTATATTATTGTATATTACAGTATATTGCTGTATATTACAGTATATTGCCATATATTACTGTATATTACAGCATATTACTGTATATTACAGTATATTACAGTATATTACCGTATATTACAGTATATTACCGTATATTACAGTATATTACCGTATATTACAGTATTACCTTGTATTACAGTTTATTGCCGTGTATTACAGTATATTACTGTATATTACAGTGGGAAACTTTATGATACACGAGTTACCGAGATGAGATAACATTTGATCTTTTCAAAATGGCGGAGAGCAACGTGAGAGTCGTGATTCGTGAATGGTAAAAATATACACTATTCATGATCTAGAAAATATACAGCATTTACCGTTTGAGTTTTGATCAATCATTTTCTTACTGTTGCAGATGACTTGAGCAATCTAAAATAGTTTTAGCTAAATAACAGGGCTGGATCTTCATCTTTTTACCACATTACGGCAACAAAAGCACTTGAACGCAACACACTGCTAAATACCAGTTCACATCATCTTTTCCATAGCATGTGAACGCACCATTAACACAGACACGAGGATACGTTTCTCACAGAGATAAAGACAGACAGCCAGTATCACACACACACACACACACACACACACACTTCCTCTGATATCATCCAGAAGACAAGCATGACTTCTCATGACGGCCGTTTTCTTATCCCACAGGCTGGGATGTGTTTCCTGAAAGCATTGTTAGCCAAATATCGTTGCAAGTTCTGTTGTTATCCTCAGTTCAACGAGTCGGTGTTTCCCGAAACCATATATTATATAGACTCATTACATGCAAAGTGAGATATTTCAAGCCTTTATTTGTTATTATTGATGTTAATGGCTTAAAGCTTATGAGAACCTTTTCACAATATTCTAATTTTGAATTTAGGGGGTTCATATCTGTAATCCATAATCATCAAAATTATAACAAACAAAGGTTTGAAATATCTCATAGTGGGGCAGATTTCTATTTTTAAAGGCCAGTTATTCTAAACCAAATAGTCGACTAATACGAGTTAGTGTACATGTAGGTGCAAAGATACTTATAAAATGTCTAAAGTGGACCATCAAAATAAAGAGTAACCACTGATTATATTAGAACAGACAACAAGATGAAAATCCATCATAAAAATAACTAAAAATTGTATTAAATAAGCAAAATAATGAAATAAACTATTTAAATATTTATGGTTTACACAAGTGCTTCAGAAATCAGTTTGATGGAGTAGCCTACACACAAACACGGAGAGGTGAAACTATTATATTGATAAATGATGCAAAAAGTGTGAAAATATTCATTCATTTGGATACATATAGCAAGACAAAAATCAATCATTTTAGGCTGTTCCAAAAACTGTGTTATTAATATCTTAAAATATGATAGAAACAGTGAAAATGACTTTCAGAAAGAAAGAAAATGTCCGATGCTGTGATCATACTTGTCTGCTGCTAGAGAGATGAAGTAAAAGTGTGTTTTAAGAGAGTTTACTTTACGAAAGTCCATAAGAAGCTCATATGCTGCATAATGAATGTTATTGCGCTGACTATAATTCATAAGCAGCTTATTTCCCCTTTTCGGCTTTGTCCTGTAATTGAATTTTCTTTTCTTTCACATATATATCATCAGACTGTATAGAGGAACAAATAAAGCACGTTTTCATCAACCGCATGCAGCGTCTGTGATATTCATAATTCATAATTTCTCATTAATGAACTTCATTTCACATCCAGGAGACTGCGAATGGAAATGAGGAAAATATGATGCTGCGGCAAATCCACGTCTTTTTTATTCTCTGGGAATAAAGCAGCATTTACGCTGGGAGAAGAGAGGGAATATTAATCACAGAGCCTTTAATAAACGGTTTAATTAGAAGTGAATCTGGAGCTCGTGACTCCTTCTGCCCTCCTGTGGAGGATTAATGCATGACCGGCTGATCCTGAGTCACCAGTTATTATATCAGGAAAAGTATATCACTCATATGGAATAAAATGCATTTAGTAATGTGCATTTTAATAATAATCTTGAGAATCCTTGTAAAAATGTTTACAAGGATTTTTGTTACTGGTGTTATTATTTTGTAATTGATTATTAAA